GTCTAAACGCCTACACGAACAGGCTTTAAAACGTAGTGCGTTCAGTTAAACCTGTCTCCACTTGACCGTTCAACCTGACTTACGATATAGTACACACTTTTTCGTTCGTCGAGACTCACGTCGACGACCTGTCAAATCAGCATACGAAAGACTCTTCGAAGTTCTTCAACGCGAACCTATTTACTAAATAGTCGATGAGACTGGAACAAATGATAGCATCAGCATCAGCCACCTCAAAGCAGCGTATTTAGAAAGAAATCCCATTCATATTGATTTTCCGTCAGTACACTCGTACGACACGACCACTACACATATAATACCTCAACCGACAGCCAACACACGATGATACTTCATCAATATCTGAAAATATGCATAGAACCATGCGTTCTGGAAGAAGAGTAAGATTTCCAGAACATTTGAGCGATTATTGAGCGTGAGATACTAGTTGAAAACGTAGGACCAGTGAAATTCTACTGAGCCCTAGCCAAATTATCCAGCAGTTTAGTCATTGAATATCGAACAAATCATCGATCCTCGTCAATGTCAAGGACAACTAACGCGCATCAGTTGATCGTACGCCATGGACTGGCCCATGCGGCAGTGGTCTCACCTTCGCTTGTATCTACTTTAACTAATATATTTCTGTAATAACGTCCTTTGTGTAGTACAGTCTTTAAAGCATCTATAGTACCTTGATACGTCGATGGGGTAATCCGTGTAAGGTGCTGATCGCGAAGTGTGACTTCGACGTTAGCCAGTTTTTCACACCACTCGCGTCTCACTCGAGTGAGCCTCCAATCATTTCGACATAGATCATCTACGTTGGTGATTTACACTGGTGAGCTTGACGTGATGTGCTTCTTCGTAGGTGTGTTATCAATTACATTTGTTACTAAGTTTGAGATAACGCGTAAGTGTATGACATAACTCTGTTATGTCATTCCGGGTCGTTTGACGTTTTTCTTTGACTGAAAAAATCTCGGCGTTAGAAGATTTGGTGATTTCGAGGATGCGGTCGGCAGATGCAACCAGCTCGTCTACGGCGTTGTTTTGGAACCAGACCAGCACAGCTTGAGCCTGTTGAGGAAGTTTTGATAAGAAAAGTTGTTTGAACAGATCATCATTGAAGGTTCTTTGGCCAATAACTTTTCTCACTCTTTGCAACATGTCAGTGGCAGAACGTGTTGCAGGTCGATGTTGTTAAGGAGTTGGTCTAACCTTTGTTGATCAGTTAGATCTCCGCGTTTAAGGATGTCATGTTTGAGGGTTTTGTATTGGTCAGAAACATCACTAGTAAACATACTATGTGTTACGTACCTGTTGAATTCGCGCGGTAGTGCCTTGACTACTGCGAGGAATTGTGCACGTGTGTCGTTCACGCAGTGCTCGCAGTAGTCGGCTTCTGCGTAGCAAAATCAGGCTTCGATGTTTTCTGGCCAGAAGGGCATTAGTTGAAACGAGGGTGGGGACACAGTCTTTAACTTAAATACCTTAGGTGTCTGTTCAGTCATAGTAATATATCAAGTACGAAAATGAACGAGTGGGAAATATATATATATATATCCAAAAACACGTGAAAAAATATCACATTGTATAAAAAAATTAAAATAAGACAATGATATATAAAATCCCAAAAAGGAACAGACTCACAGTTTGCAATTTGGTGTACCAGATCACGTTTGGGAACGCCGTGCTCAACATCTGCCGCAATCGCTAGCCAGATTAGTTCAAACGATCCACAATATATTGATAGCTTATCAAATATATATTCGAACCTCCTCGCTTGCGTCTTTTGATTACATTTGGTGGGTACGATTCATATTAGAAAGTGTTACTGGTTAAAGCGTTGTCAAAATCCGAATGCCTGTGGCATATGCATTGGTGAGCTCGATGTGATCTGGTACACCAAATTGCAAACTATGAGTCTGTTCCTTTTTGGGATTTTATATATCATTGTCTTATTTTAATTTTTTTATACAATGTGATATTTTTTCACATGTTTTTGGATATATATATATATATTTCCCACTCGTTCATTTTCGTACTTGATATATTACTATGACTGAACAGACACCTAAGGTATTTAAGTTAAAGACTGTGTCCCCACCCTCGTTTCAACTAATGCCCTTCTGGCCAGAAAACATCGAAGCCTGATTTTGCTACGCAGAAGCCGACTACTGCGAGCACTGCGTGAACGACACACGTGCACAATTCCTCGCAGTAGTCAAGGCACTACCGCGCGAATTCAACAGGTACGTAACACCTAGTATGTTTACTGGTGATGTTTCTGACCCATACAAATACAAGGGGTATAGTAGACATTTATTTAAAATGGTAACCACCAATATAACTAAAGTTTAGAGGGCTCAGGTAACGTGGCCATTTCGTAAAAGGCTGATGCAAAGAGCTTATTACTTAGCGTTAAGTGCCACATTACGTACGACAGTGTCCACTTAGGACATGAACTCAGAGTGCTCGTGTACATGCAATATGTTTAAAACAATATGTCGACCAACGAGTCATAAATGTACATGATTTCGATTAAAACTTGACGGAACTGACAGAATATATGACTACTTTACCTGAAAGCAACTACGAAATGTTAGTACTCATCATAGACACAGTACGAAATAATCCAATGAAATTATGAAACTCGCCTGGGTTACTCATGCTCCAATTAATGAAGATATGAAGTAGACAGTAGTTTGAATCTGGATTATACACGAGGTACTGTTGATTAAATTCTTCGATTGACACAGCGTTGTAAGCCGCATTTGTGTAAATCCAAAATTAATTTAAGCCAAATACGCAGCATTCCCTGACGAACAGTCTAAACGAGATCTAAGATTGCAGAAAATTCGTAGTTCGAACTCACCGTAAATTTCTAGCACTTGTATCTTCCGTTTGGTCATGGAACTCAGCAATCGGAATTTAGGCAGGCGGTGGTAAAAAACGTTCTAGTGGATGGTGGTTAAGCAGAAGGATGAATTTATAGTCGACAGTTAATTTTGTCTCGCATACACGAGTGGATAAGTTACAAACCGATGTGAGTTCGTGTTGCCTTGTGTCTACACTCATGAATGGTTGAAATTTCAACAGACATATTACACAGGAGCATTTACATGCTGCTAATGCTTGTTAAAGAACCATGATAGTCGATTATAATCGTAGTTGACTAGTTAGTTCTATCGACTGAACTAGTTTGATGATTTTAAATACTACTCAACATTGACATGAAGCAACGAAAGTTCATAGTAACAGATTAACATAGGCGATGATAAAAATGAAAAGCAATATGTATAGATTGCAATAATAAAGATTATAATGATAGGTTGCGTTATTCGCAGTCTTGCTCACCAGTATAAATCACCAACGTAGATGATCTATGTCGAGATGATTGGAGGCTCACTCGAGTGAGACGCGAGTGGTGTGAAAAACTGGCTAACGTCGAAGTCACACTTCGCGATCAGCACCTTACACGGATTACCCCATCGACGTATCAAGGTACTATAGATGCTTTAAAGACTGTACTACACAAAGGACGTTATTACAGAAATATATTAGTTAAAGTAGATACAAGCGAAGGTGAGACCACTGCCGCATGGGCCAGTCCATGGCGTACGATCAACTGATGCGCGTTAGTTGTCCTTGACATTGACGAGGATCGATGATTTGTTCGATATTCAATGACTAAACTGCTGGATAATTTGGCTAGGGCTCAGTGGAATTTCACAAGCCCTACAACTTTTTATATCATCTCGATTTTTCCCTGTACTATATATAATTTTGAAAAAAACAATTTGAATATGCTTATATGTTTATTGTTATTTAAAACAAACAAAAACAAAAAACATTTTGTAGAAATCCTTTTTTACGCTATCACGTGTGTATGAGTTTCTTCCCGCTTTTATTGGGGCACGTACGAGTGTATTTTGACGTGCGCCTACATATTTTTTTCTTTTCCAGGACGGCTTGAAAAGATGAAAAAGAACGACTAAGCTTATGATGAACCGAAAGTTTCATTATACGTTTATTTATTGCTACATTGTACTACATGGTCCCTTATGGTAAGGAAAAACGACCAGACGCTGCTAAGTCAAGCAAGCTGTCAGAAGAGGATTCACCAGTGACAAACTCGTTGAGTTTAAACTTCTGGCTGGCCACGTCTTAGGGTCATTACTACCTCACCAGCGGTTGACCTATAGCCGTAAATGAATCCACAAAATAAGTAGCTCTGTAAGTCTTCGACATTAAATGTTGACTATATTTGCTTTGATGAACTCACCTAGCTGAAATCACTCGGTCAGGCATTCTCATCAGATCACGAGTGGGAACGCCGTGCTTAACATCTACTGCAATCGCTAGCAGATTCGATCAAACGATCCACAATATATTGATAGCCTATCACACATATTTTCGAACATCCTCTCTTCTGTCTTTTGATTTCACTTGGTGGGTACGCTTTATATTAGGTGTTACTGGTTAAAGCGTTGTCAAACTTGAAATACCTATGTCATCTTTATTCCGATAGAGACATCAATACATTAGAATCCATGGACTTATCTGGTAAATATACTATAAAACGAATAGATTGTTAAAGCTGACTTCATCAACAACATGTGTTTATAAACATATTTCTGATTAAAATATTGTGCAAGTGCAAATCTTCTTAAGAAAACACACTTCATTTAATTCCAGGTAGTTCATTCACTTAACTTGTGTATGTATGCATGTTGTTACCACTTCTCTTCACTTTTTTTCCTTCTCGTAAAAGGGACTATTTGAAATACTTTGTGATGAGAATTCTATATTATAACAAAAATATAATGTTTAACAAAGCCACTGATAATTATAATAAATATGGCTTACACATTTATACATAATAAAGTCGTGATTTACAGAACTTCAAAGGCGATCGGCGTCGTTTATATCAGAAATCAAATGTCCAATGAACACAACCTGTGTTTATTTGGGTGTTAGACCTTTTGTTTTATTGCATCACACAATCAAAAATCAGCTGATTACAAGGTTGTAGTTAGTCGCGCGATGGTGCTTCTTTTGCAAACGACTAAGTTTTCTGTGTTGGTTTACCGTGGTCTGCTCCTCTTTTTTCTGGGCATATGTTTTTGTTGGGTTTCCGAAGCACTACACAACATAAAGGGAGAATTTACGGCTTCTAAAATATCATTTTACACAGAATCTGCTGCGAAATTTTGGATATCTTTCTGTTGTGGCGTTGCCTCAGGTATGTAATATTTCTCAACATTATGGTAAATTTTCAGTCACAGTAGGGCTTTTGTCTCCATGCGTTGACTCTAAACTTGGTGCTTTTGATGCCTATAATAAGGAGTGGCCATCAGTTCTGCGGTGTGCTGCTCTGTTCTTCGGTTTCAGCCATGCAACCGCTAGAATAGATTTTGCCACATACTCACAGCTATCACTTACAGCAATTGGACTATCTATTGCACTCTGGTGGGTATTCGATAGATCTCTTGTTGGATTTGTGTTTGGAATGGCAGTTGCATTGCTTGCTACATTTATTTTTCAATCATTTGTTTGGAAGCAACTCTACAGGTAACCTGTTACGAATATTATTGACATCTGTATAGATTTTCTCACCCTATGATGGCTGCTTGGTTGCCTTGTCTTTTCTTCTCGGGTGGTGTCGTCATTGTCCTGGTTGGCCGACAATTAGCGAAACCTGATGTTATGGAGCTAATGCAAAGGAAAGTCAAATAATTTCCAGTCTTCAAATTCCATATCAATTATAAACTCCATTCTCAAACCACTGTACATAAAGTTCAAACATGTATAGAAAAAATTAGTTCTTCCGTATGCATTTTATATACCCATAAGCTTAATATAACTTCATGACTTTTTGGGCTTCTTTGTTTGTACTCTGAATGCAGTTTATTTTATCATAAACATCAAATATACCTCAGTTTACAAATGTAAGTCGCAATTCTGGATTGTGTTGTATCTGACGTCTAAAAAGTATATTTTTGATCTGTTCCTATCTATTTTAAGGAAGTTTGGGTAGTTCCTGCGTCTTACATAACTCAGTCCCTGGTGCCCTAATCCTGTATATCCAAGTAAAACTTGAGAAATTTTTTCGTCTTCAGTAATCCGAATCTCAGGAACGTTTATGTCAAGATCGCACATAAAATTACAATTTCATGTAGATTTCTCTCAGATTCACCCCTATTTTCTTCATATATATCTGATTGTCAGTGCTTCACTAGTAAATATATAGCCTGTTAACCCTTGCTTATTGTTAAGATGTTCCTAAAGATCCGATTTTCCCTATAGAGTTGTTAGCATTCGTTCAGGTAGTTTATTATCGTTAACCTATCGGGAAATAGTGTAATCCAAAGTTGAGTTAGTTAAGTTGTGGTATCTGAATTTTAATGCTATGGCTTTTAGTATGATTAGTCGAAGTGACAGGGTTTCTTATTTATCATATGTTGACACTAAAGCACTGTTAGAGATACTAAATCCAAACATAAGACTCAAATTCTAAGATATAATGGGGAAAGTATATCTGTGCATGTCAGCTTCTTTTAAGAGAAGTTTAACAGTCTCCCTACCGACGTAGTACAAACTATTTGGATATCCTTGATTGTGTCATCATCCCTCAATTAACATAAACTAGTTGCTTGTATGAGATATTTTAGATTAAACGATAAGTGGGTGGAATATAAAATCCTGAACATGCTTATGTCAAAGCATTTGAATGTTTTCCGAAGTAGCCAAGTTCAGTAACTACGGTATAAAAATAAAGTCAAATGATTTCACTTTCGAATTTCCGCATGAGATTATCGACATTTGAGAGCTCTTACTAAAATGGGTCGTGTTATTCTCATCACACAATACTTATTTAGTTATTTGAACGCATAAATGTTGGTACAAATGGGCACCGAATACATCTGAGCCACACAAGTCACTTGATTTGTATGTGGGCTATAATACTTCCCGGGTGCTCAAAGCGAAGCAAATGATTTTCTCAGGAAGTCACTCCTCAAGCCTTTGACCTAATGGTCTAATCCACAAGACAGTGGAGTAACGTAAAGAGATGCAGTCCCATGGTAGTCTGTGACCAACAATAGGTTCATATGTTATAACTATAAGTGTAAATTGATCTAGTGGTTTGACTACTATCTGTCCATACTGTTAGAGAAAACAGAAAGGCACCCGCTGTGACAGAACTCAAAGGAAGGAGAGATGTTCTGAACTAAATGTAACCGCATTCCGTTCGTTAAAATTATGAATCGAGTGCTTATTACTAGATTATGCTCAATGGTATAATGTGGCCGGCTGACACATCAAGAGATCCCAAGTAAGCTGATGCCGAAGGACAGCCTAACCACCTGCATAATTGGTTTTTCCCGAATTAAAATACACGCTTTCGTTCAAAACATTTAACACAAAATGAATATCACTATATGTGATTTAGCTCATGAATAGGTCTAGAATAGAGGTTTGTTATGTCATTCATATCCCAATTAAATCAAAACTTAACCATGAAGTCGGATTCTCGCCCATTATAATAGAAGTTTTTTAGACTATTAACGTTTGCCAAAACCCGAGTTACATGTCACAGGAGAATTTAAGATAAAAAGCATCCTTATTATTTGCAGTATAAAAATAATTGTTAGTCTAGCTTGGAATCTATCAGACTGAAGTTTCTGTACCAGTTCAAAACGTACTCTAGTCGGCACGCGTGGATAAGTGTTTTCAGTCAGTCTTTCCTCTAGAGGTTTCCTTGCAGCGTCTTTCCTACACACAGTAAGACGTAGACAAATACGCGCTTGCACTAGAGCATGATCTGAGTCTAAGCATGTGCTCCAGAATGAGCGACAGTCTTCTATCGAGCCTCTCCATCGGTGGCTGATAGCGATGTGATCTATTTGGGTCCCACCATGGGACGAATTCGGGGGTCGCCATGTTAAAAGATGTTTTTCCTTATGCTTAAAGTTAGTGTTTGCAAGAAACGCGGTTATCTGAGCATAGTTGCAACAGACGGTCGCCATTATCTGTTCTTTGAGCCGCGACACCATAAGATCCACCCATATGTCTTTCCCTTTTGCTTAGTTTACCTAAGTGAGCATTAAAGTCACCAGCCACTATAACTACATCAGAGCGCCTAGCTTTTCGGAGAAGGTCGGAAAGCTTTCTGTAAAACTCATCTTTTACATCATCTGAGCTTCAGTTAGTGGGAGAGTAGGCAGAGACGACGAAGAGTCAACGACGAGTATCGCTATCTTTCCGAGTCCTTACTGTTCCGTTTAGTCGGACAGCGCATAAACGACTGTCTACTGGGGTCCAGTCTAAGAGAGCTAGTTCTGCCCTAGGACTCAGTGCTATACCTACGCCAGCAAGGCCACGAAGTGTAAATCGAGTTGGTTTGTTACTTTGACATGGTGAGGTCAAATGAATGACACTACTCGGATCCTGTGTGCGCGTTTCGGAGACGCAGCACACACCGATGGAGCGAGATTCTAAAGTCCTAGCTAAGGAAGCCTGTTGTCCTATTTGGCACAGTGTTCGGACGTTGAAAGCTCCTACGTGTAGTTTAGAGCGTGGTTTCAGGAGACCAGGAATAACGTTCCGCCTGCTCGAATCGTTTACACTAGCGGGGTGAGGTGATAAAGGGACGTGAGAAGGATTAGTCGTGGAGATAAGAGATTTATTTGGAGGTGTAGGAGGGATTTGAAAGTGACCAACTTGGTCTCGTGTGCTGTTACGGGTATGAGGGCTGATGTCACTTCCCGGCTGCTCACACCGTGGAAGGGTATTTCTTGAGGGACCTGAAAAGGAATTCGGATTAGTGTTGGTCTTAACGGCCTGGGAGCGTGACCGCAGAGCCCAAGGGACAACTGCTTGAGGCCGGTCGCGCACGGCCTTTTTGTGGGAGGTTTTTAATGTGTTAGCTCCGTTCTTCAAAGGGCCTTACCGCCGGAGACGGAAATCCGTGGGGTAAGGTAAGATGTGACACTTTTAGGGTCAACCTTTTCTAACCCCTTCCTTCCTTGTGAGAAGGCAGCACCGCTGTAGATGCTGGTTATCTGAGGGAAACACCTTACTGCTGTCACACTTCTGTACAGTCAGCAGTAGGACTTCGCCCTCAGACCTTGAGTTGCTGCTTTTAGTCTTACCGTTCTCCAATCGACCTGCCAGGCATGGTAGAATCTGCAGGAACATGTGTTCCAGCCAATATAGCTCGGTTGAGTCATCACGATAGGCAAGCCTGACCACCACGTCAAGGTAGCTGCTACGGTTTTAAAACAGCTGAAGACTATGGGCACGTATGAATAAACTGTAATGAACATGAAATCATTGGGTACTAGGTGTACAAATTACTTGTCGATTTATACTGAGACAACAAGGTTGTTCATTGCGCCATAGCGACTTTATTCAGTGGCTTAATGATTAAGACTTTCTTCCGAACACTAAGTTGCAGAGTCGAACCCCGTTCCATCTACTCTAGTTTAAACAACCGAGTAGTATTGGCACCCCTCACAAATAAAGTGTGGCTCCAAGTCAGTAATATCTAGGTTCGTTATAATTTCCAGGTAAATTACAGAAGGACAAATAGTTCGTTTTCAGTGAATCCATACTTCAACTGTACATTTTTGTTTTGACTGGCAGCATCCAAAATCTGATACTGATACGAGGTGTGTTACGCCCTAATATCCAACTGACTACTTGAATGATAGCATATGGGTAAGCGTGAAAGTGTGTTGGGTTACCGAATAAAATGCATAAATACTCATCCATATGTATGCTACTCTAACCCCTAGGAAATCGATCCATTTATTAGCCAATGAAATGCACTTGTCCTTTAGGTCACTTCTGATTGCCACAGATTGACCTTCTAATTGGCTGTCCATTTCAATTTTCATGGAAATCAATAACACCAAATTGCCGACAATAGTATGTATATATACCAATGGTAAACAAATATACAAGATTCTGTGTTATGACTTGATGTCCCTATATGTCATTGTACGACCGAGTATTGGAAGAGTTAGCTCTCTCTCCCTCGAAATGCTCTCATATGGCCACGTGCATGCGACCATTGCGAGGGAGGTCTTACTCACTATCTTCTCGTGGAGGGGATGTTTTTTACCAAACTGACAGGACGAAAAGTGAATGTCTGGTGCTTTAACCGGATTGACAAATCCATCTAGGGGAGTCGGTAAGCCTTGATTCCAAAACAGTGGCGCACATGAGCTCCAGGATCCTGAGGGAACAAATAACATTTGAACCTATTGTTGGTCACAGACTACCATGGGACTGCATCTCTTTACGTTACTCCACTGTCTTGTGGATTAGACCATTAGGTCAAAGGCTTGAGGAGTGACTTCCTGAGAAAATCATTTGCTTCGCTTTGAGCACCCGGGAAGTATTATAGCCCACATACAAATCAAGTGACTTGTGTGGCTCAGATGTATTCGGTGCCCATTTGTACCAATATTTATGTGTTCAAATAAATAAATAAAGTTATGTTTTGATGTCCGTTCTCCAGAATGCATTGGTAAGCTGATAAGGGAAAAAAGCAAGCTCATATGTCCCCTTTAACTAAGTGAGGCATTTCATGAAGCTAGTTGACAGAATTTAGGTACATCAACGAACTAATTGGCTGGAAATAAACTCCACATTTTCTGGTAATATAATTGTATCGTAGTCAGTAATTGTGATCATGTTTTTGTCTAGTTAGTAACTCACTTGTAGATATTTAAGAAAAATTTCCATTATAAAACTAATTGGAGGTGTACCTTTTGCTATGCTGTAATCTTTCTTCTATCATGACCCACTGCATTATACTTTACACCTCCGTAGCATGATGGAGTGGTATTTCCGTCGCAGGAAACGACAGAACGAAATACTCTTTTCATCATGGATTACGACAGGGTAAATAATAATTCCCGCTTTATTTTCGTTGGTTGCCAGATGCGAGGAACAAATAGCGAACGTAAGTGAAGTTTATCCTCACTCAATAAATCAGATTAAAGCGCGAAACTCATTCTTTGACGATAGCTTATCTCGATTAAATTAGAACTTCTTATCTATTATGATTATATCATTATTTAAAATTATAAATCATTTCCTAACTAAACGCTTTTGTGATTAGCTAAAATGTACTTCAAGTTCGCTCATTTACTTCACCTTCACCTATTGGTCTTATTTTCCAGGATGAAATCGGTTTTATTCTTAATTTAAAATTTTAAGCAGTACGATATCAAGATTATATTTTCCAATGTAACATTATTTCAGGTCACTATGTTTTATATTAATTAAGTGTAAATTTTGCTTAGGTGTGAACTTTCTCAAATTATAACGATTATATTCTCTTTAGTTTGAGCACATTTCGTATGTGTATTACAATAACCTTGTGTATCTCTTCATGTTTATAATGTTTATGAATTAACAATCAATTATATCTAAAATCGGTACATAAATAAGTGTATTTAATTTAACAATGCCATGTTATTTTTTTTTTTTGGAAAATCAATAAATCTTCATCTTTTATTACCAATCTTTGTGTTTTCTTTTCGCGTTGTGAAGTTTGTAGTGGTTCTCATTTTCAAGTATAAACATTAGGACCATGGATATTAGTTATAGTAAGGGGAATAAAGACGAAAGTCTAGAAAATAATGATAAATTTGCTAAAGAAAAAACTTAGTCATAGTTCTGTGTTATGAGTAATGAACAATAGTTTCGAATAAATTGAGCATTGGGTAGATTGTTATATTTATATATTTGTAATATCCCAATGAGTGGAAAAATTAGATTTTCTGACGTTTTGTGACTTGGTGTAAGTCACTTCTTCAGAGAATAAATAACCAAATTAAAACTAATCCAAGTTTAAATAATACAACGGTACAACAATAAGAATAATATGTGATCAATCAAAAACAGGCCTGAACAAGTTAATGTCATGTCATTTCGGTCAAGGTGATTCATAAGTGATATGTATGTAAATTTGCATGTGTATGTATGTGTGTACTGATTAAAGATGAAAAATTGTGTGACATTTATGGTGATTTCGACATGGATCATCTACGCTGGTGATTTACAGTGAGAAAGGGTAGAGTTTGTAAGATGATAGTGTGAACTGTAAATAAGAAGTGACTTACAGTAAATCACGAAACGTCAGAAAATCTAATTTTTCTACTCATTGGGATATTAGAAACATATTATTTAGTTATTTATAGTAATGAACAATGTCCATCTTATGAAGAATAACTAAGTTATTCAATGATTTGAAAGTTTTTGATAACAGATGAATTGTGTAAAATTCGATGGAATTATTTGAATAGTCACAATAGTCAAGTGAATAATCCTGAATAATACCTTTATACAATTGAGTTTTCATTTTAAAAAAAAAACAAACAGAAACTGGTAGATATATATACGGGTTGTCCTACTAACTGCTTTCTCGTGGCGAGAGGTGTTGTTTACGAAATTGAGAGAACGAAAGGCGAATGTCCGACACTTTAACCGTGTTGGTGGATACGGAGGATCCACCTAAAAGAGTTAGAAAATCCCGATTCCAAACCATTGGCGCACATGAGCTCCAGGAAACAAAACGGCTACCATGGAACTGCATCTCCTGACGTTGCTTCACTGCCTTGTGGATTAGACCTTTAGACCAAAAGCTCGTGGTGTGGTTCCCTAAGAAAACCATCTGCTTCGGTTTGGGCACCCGAGTAGTATCCAAGCCCTCACATAAATTCAATGATTTATGTGGCTCATATCTGTTTGGTGCCTCCGTGTACTAATGTTTATGTGTTTAAATAAGTAAAAAAAATGTCTTCATTCATACAGCCCAACAACTATGTAGAGGGTCATGTATTTTAATTTTGTAGTACATTTGTCAAATAAAAGAATAAAGACACTATTTACCAAAACCTCAATAAGTAATTTAGAATTTTAACCTAATTCTCAGTATATTAAGTCTTTAAAATCAAACTAATAGACAACAATTTTATAGAATTAGAATTTAAGAAACTCCCAGTATTTTACCAAATAAATAGATTTGGTTTAAAATGATGAATCATGACTGTACAGTTAAAAAGATTCACAACATCCATTCTCAATAGATTTAATGGTTAGGAAATGTAGTCCCATTATTTAAAAAATGCATTTGACCAGTTGATAGACTGAATATCTTAGAATTATTGACATGGTGTTGATTACAGTGTAATGATTCAATAAAATCATACCTAATCTATAAAAATTAAAATTAGCTAGTATTTCTCCAACACCAATAATTGATAATTTGATAAGAATCACCTATAGTTATTGTTGAGATCTTTTGTTTGAATCTATGTTAATTCACACACTGAATCCACGCAGCGATAGACGATCTTTTTGTCACTAATGCCAAATATGGCAGCTTTACTGGTTAAAATGTTAGTTTTCATAACAATATAACACGAAACCCTAAACATTACTACATAATGTAGGCCGTTCAAAATTGTTATTCCGTTCTAGATATACTTATTCAGAAATCGATTACGCATTTACTTTCACAACTTCTAGTTGAATTTTCGAGAACTCTCTCTTAAGCTGATCACTAATCAATAGGTTGATCCACTATCTTTGGTCGGCAAGTTAATCTATTTGAAGATCAGTCTTATCAACTACGCGATAAAAATCTTAGCGAATTGCGTGGATTATTTTGTTTTAATCAAGAACACTTTAACGGTAACGTTAGGACACTGAACAGTCGTTTCTCCCGAGTATGAAACTTCTCAGTGGTGTGCACTCACGACTTTGCAATCGGAAATCAAACCCAGGATCTTCGGTTTTACCCAAGAACCCTTCACCTCTAAACCACTGAGTAGGGATCTAATGAATTACATCCTTAAATCGTGATATTACTTGACTAACTTCTATTGTATTCAGTGGATACCTTCCTCATATTCGATATGGTTGAACTCCATTGGTCACAGATTCTCACTAGAACTTCAGAATCTTTCTATCAAAGCAAGCCTCTAAACACATGATAATTATCACTACAGGGTTGTGAAGATAGATGAATTTTATGAAGATCAAGATTTGATCCAAGTTACAAAATTCCGTACTGATAATAATAAAGATTTCATAATATCGAATTACATTGATATATACATATAAGACTGATTTATTTAAATATGAATGTATTTCTTTGACAAACAGTTAAGATTGTGTAAACAAAAAATTTCAGTGTACAATAATTTTATGCTTCCCATAGCTTTCATTCAGGTATAAATTACAAGTTGACATCACTAAATGAATAGAACTGAAGGCAATAGGTGTTAGCAAATATGATGTTCTCAAACTTTCTTAGGTTTAAATGAATAGATATTTAAAAATTACGTAATCAGTTTACATCACAAACTGGAGAATCATCAAACTTTAAAAATATTAACAGCTCGTTCGTGATAATTTAGACTTCAACGATTTTAGTGGTTAGAGGTAATCGGCGGTGAACCCTTTTACATCTGGGTTTCGCATAGACTGATACTCGTCAACAAGGTGTCCCTACATTCTTGACGGAACTTCTTCTCTCTGATAGATTTGAATCGAAACTAACCTTATAAGATGGGAATCTCACGGATCCAGGATCACCAAAGCAAAGAAGGAGGAAATCACGATGATTTTTATCCAGTTATGCGTCCACCGATGATAGCAATGACGACGATAAAGATTAGTTCTACGAGAGGCTGCAATCAGTCATAATGAAGTACTCAGAAGAGGACCTGACTATTCTGATGGGAAGCTAAAGCGCCGAAGTTGGAAGAGACAACACCTGATAAGAAGATATCATGAGATGACATGGAATGAGCACTGGGAGAGAAAAACGAAAATGGGGAGAGATTCGCAAACCTATATGCATTCAAAAAATTGGCTATAGGCGGAACAATATCCCCACACAAACGCATATACAGAGCTAAATGGGTCTCACCTGATCACACCACGGAGAACCAGATAGATCATATTTGCATCTGCAAAAATTCTAAAGGTCAATGGAATATGTGAGAACCTGAAGAGGAGCTGATATAGCTTCAGATCACCACTAGCTGGTGGTTGCCAAGATGAAACTGAAACTAAAGAAACACTGGGCAACTGGAAAAACAGCATTACAAACGTTCAACATAGCCTTCTTTCCTCATACTGACAAATTTGACCAGTTCAAGCAAACTCTCAAAAACAGGTTCCAAGACTTACAAGATCTACTCAAAGAAGAAGAAACTGCTATGGCGTACAACTGGAAAGGGATCAAAGATGCACTAAGTTCAACGTGTCAGGAGGTTCTGAAACACAGCAGGTATCATCATAAGGAATGGATCTCTAGGGAGAGCTTGGACAAGATTTAAAAAGGAAAGAACAAGAGGACAGAAACTAACAACTGCCGAACAAGAACGGAGAAAGCCAAGGCACAAGCTGAATACACAGAAACAAACCAGTAAGTGAAGAAGAGCATTTAAGCTGACAAGCAGAAATGCGTGGGAATGCTAGTAACGACAGTGGAAAAAGCTGCAAGAGAAGAAAATATGAGACAGCTATATGATATAACGAAGAAACTGGTAGGGATATATAGTAAACCAGAGAGACCGATCAAGGACAAACAAGGCATGCCAATCACCGAGATTCAAGAACAGAGGAACAGATGGGTGGAGCACTTCGAGGAACTCCTGAATAAACCAGCTCCATTGGATCCACTGAACATCGAAGCAGCACATACAGACCTTCCTATAGATGTCACTCCACCAACGATCGGTGAAATCAGGATGGTCAGCAGGCAAATCAAGAGTGGGAAAGTTGCAGGACCTGACAATATACCAGTCGCAGCAGTAAAGCCAGACATAGAAGTAACTTTAAGCATGCTTCACGTTCTATTCAGGAGGATTTGGCAGGAAGAACAAGTACCGATAGATTAGAAAGAAGGATACCTCATCAAGATACTGAAGAAATGAGATTTGAGAAACTATAGAGGAATCACACTGTTAGCATCATGAAAAGTTTTCAACAGTGTTACTGAACCGGATAAAAGATTAAGTAGAGGCCCAACTTCGAAATCAACCGGGTAGATTTTGTAAGGATTGGTCGTGCACAGACCAAATTGCGACGCTGCGGATCATCGTTGGACAATCAGTTGAAGCAGACATGAAAATGACAAATAGCTACTGGAAAGAACTGGAAATGATTGCTCAGGACATGGTTGGATGGAGAGTGCTGTTGGGCCACCTATGCTCCTCTACGAGGGGTAACAGGCGTAAGTAAGTAAGTCATCATCTAGTCTATAATCTTGATCAATGTCAATTGATCAATTGACCATAACACAACTTTTTTTTCGATTTTAAAATGTATCAATGTACACTATATTATTATAGATAAATATTTACAATAGAATTCACTAGCAAAGAATTATTATTTTCAATAAATAATGAGTAATATTTCACATCACAATACATGTTTCGTTAGAATGTGTTTATTCTTGATAAATGCATTGATCAATTTACCAAGTCAACAGTTGCCATGGTGTCCGTGACAGAACCATGAAGACAATCTATATGTCTTATTTTTGAAGTGTTATTGTAAGTCTTTAGAAAGAAAAAAAATTCTGGCAAAATATCATTTCATTGAAACACACTAATGTTTTTTTTTATTATTATTTATTAACAGATTATACTGTATACTTAAAATGCAATGACCTTAACATGTGGTCTGATTGTGTGATGCTTTATTACATACTACTTTATTATATTATACAATTGATTGGTTAGTTATATAATATCATACGATATACTGATTCATGTGATTCTCATAAAAATTGTAGTGAAAGAGAGTAACATTCATTAGTTCACTATCTAATTGATGGGAATACAATATAGTGAGAAATATTTGTGCTTTAAAAAAATGTCGTACTATTTTCTTATCACTGACCTAAATAATATATTTACACACACACACACACACACTCACTCACACGTATATATAATATATGAACTGAGTAAAAGTGATTGATTCATGAAAATAAGGTGATCAGTTTCAATATGTGATCATTGTTGTAAAGTTTAACTAAACATATATATACACTACTTTTGTAGTGAACCGAAACATAGCGAACGTAGCATATATCAGATTATTATTATTAAATTTTTCAAGTACTAATTTTTTTTATCAGAAGGATGTTTTGTGGAGATTTTAGTAATTTCAATAATTGAGATCATGAGTCATTTGAAGCTAGACCACCATGGAAAACCTGGAAGCACTGGACGGCCGTTTTGTCCTATTGTGGGACTCCGGGTTAGTTGTGAGATAGTAACTCACTGATGACAATGGTGGATGTGTCACTCAATTTCGTGGACTAGTTGAAGTTAAACATTAACACCGGTGGATGCCGGCTCAGTGGTCTAGTTGTTAAGTGCTCGAGCGCGAGACCAGTAGGTCCTGGGTTCGAATCCCGCGAGGCGGTATCGTGGATGCGCACTTCTGAGGAGTCCCACAATAGGACGAAACGACCGTCCAGTGTTTCCAGGTTTTCCATGATGACCTAGCTTCAATTGACTCATGGACTCAAGTATTAAATTATGTATATAAGAAATACAAATCTAAATTCTACTTACATTGACTTAATACTGATGAAAATGATTATTAATTCAATCCAAGGTAATAGGTTGGGAATGATTAAGCCCATTATATAATTGAATTTTTGTTAATAAACTAAACATCGGTTGATAATAAAAATAGGCTACAACAAATAATTAGGACATTCATTTGCCAAAACGTATTCAAGTAGAATTAATTTCAGACTTTTACAACACTGACCACCCTTAGACAACCACTGAAAACTATGGTACACTGGATAAATGCTACATCCTAAGATAGGTGTCCTCAGCATTTCCCATTAATGACGACCCTAGGAACTGAATTGTGACAAGTTCCTAAGCATCAGCTCATTAAGTTGATTTCTGATGACTTACGTTTTCAGCTTCAGTTCCAATGCTATCGGTTTAAACTACCACATACCCTGTATGATCGTATTCCACCGACCATGGCTTCTTAGGAGGACTTCCAGAAACACCTATCGAAGGTAGTCATTAGTCACGGAGTAATGATTGTTATTACAGGAAATTATGGAGATTTTCGAATTCGTCACGTATGACGCAAATATCATAAATGACGATGGATGATGGGTGTATAATTTCGAATTGAATAGAGTGACAAATCTCAACCATTAGATCCTGACTAAGTGATCTAAAGTTTAAGAGCTTACTACGAGGTTTTTAGGTCCTGAAGTCATTCCCCAGTGAGGTTATTGTTGGATATTGCTGAAGACAACCATATTTTAATAAAATAGCCGTTTAGTGCTTCCTGGTTTTCAACGATTGTCTAACTACGGAATTAAGCAATCTCCACAAGCACCCTCTACTATAAAACAATCGACTTTATCAATGTAACTCACTAACCAAATAGATTTCTTATATGTGAAAGACTGTGTAACTATCTAGAATTTCACAATTTATCAGCTGCAGTCTCTCACACCCACATCCACTTTTTGGCTTGATTCCTTGTAATTATTATTTTCTGTTTTATGGTATGATGCGGTCTAGTTTGTTTATATATAAACCCAGTATATCCGAAATATATAATTCATATAACGAAGGCTGATATTTCCATTCTGGACTGACCTGTCTTGGTTAGGAGAAAATCTACTATGTCAAAGGACTAATAAGAGCTCGTACATGTTTATGTATCATCGGTCTAGTTGTAGAAGTCGATGTCTCCAATTGGTGATCTTATCACGTGATAAATTAACAAGGTCACAAGCCATAAGACTAAAATTAAGTTCTAACCGTTTAAATGTCGAATTGATTATCGAGAGGTAATCTATCCAACACGTTCAAATGTGAATACTAATAAGAGTTTAAGGCTTGGAAATTTTCTCATACAACTTCTTCTTTTATAGGTTTTACAGTTGGCATGATAAATTATAGAAAAAAAAGCATTTTAAGACGAAAATAATATAAAACACAATATCAACTATTATCTTACTGGTAATAATATCAATAATATATCTTCTCAATAAAAATATTGTGAAAATGTACTTTAAGTAAGTGTAAGTTACATGTCAAATACACTTGGTTTGTTATTTCTGGTGTTTAAATCTATTCAATCATTTGTTTATTATTATTATTATTTAAATATAAACATTTTAATTTAATAATTGGAAAATCTGGAAGCACTGGACAGCTGTTTTTTCCTGGTGTAGGACTCCTCAGCAATGCGCATCGACGATCACACGACGCGGGATTCGAATCCAGGACATTTTATTCGGAGTGCAAACTTTGTAGTTGAAATTTATGAAACAGTCTTAAGGTATGACTAGTGACTTTTGTTGACATCCATTTTTTCACTCATGTTAAAAGGAAATATGAGTACTTGAATCAATGTTCATTTTGATTAAGTTTTATATTTCAGTATAATTGATATGCAACCAGCAATGGAAATCAAAATGCATATTTTATTTTGTTTGCAATGTGTCTACATTCATGTACTACTCCCAGAATGAGTCTTGGATTCCATTGTTAGTCATATACCAAATATTACTAGAACTTAAGAAATAATTCTATATCTAGACAATCTGAACAAGATCGGAATATGACAAGAGAGACTGACGAATTATAGTCCTGATTATCAATAATGGGAAATTATAAATTCTTACTAATAAGTTATTCATTTTATTTATAATTAATTAATTTGTCTCCTTCAAATTTACTGTTAAAACGGACCAATCTGGGCATTTTTGCTGACGATTTATGGAAGCCATTCATTATTAACAGTTAGGTCATTCAGTCAGTCAGCTACAACGTAGGACCAGGCACATATATGCATTGGTCCAAGTTACCGTACCGCATTAGCACAGCAAGATGAACACCGAACTTACAGAAGTAGTTAAATCAATGGTGGTAATATATAAAAGAAAGATTGCATATAAGGAGATAGTACAGGAATAAAGGATTAGTTCGTAGAAAGAAAGATATGAAGCAATTTTAATCCCTTAGCTTAAATGAAGACAGAGAGTGTATACACCTACGACATTGTGGTCGATTCTGAGCCATGTCACCAAGAGTCTCCAACCATTGGTTACGATAGTCACTCGGACCCCAACCAAGTAGTCTGCATCTACCAACATGGCTCAAACCAGAAGTTAATGACTTCAAGCATTGATGCCACGTTTTGGTTTGGTCGCCCCTAACTTTCTTCCAACTATCCCCTACACTAGTCAGCATTGCGCGTCGTGGTAATCGGTGTTCGGGCATACGTAACACGTAGCCCAACCATCTCAGTCGATGAAGGTTCACAACCTCATCAACTGATTTACCATCATACCCTAATACTCTGCGTCTAAACTCACAATTACTCACCCGTTGATCCCAGCAAATGCGAGCGATATTTTTAAGGCATCTGTGGCCAAATACTAGTAGCTTACAAATATCTTCAACTCTTAATGACCACGTTTTGCAGCCGTAAAGTATAACGGAACGAACTATCGTGTAGTATACTCGTCCTATTATTGATAGACGAACATCTCGCTTTCGCCATAGGTGACGTAAGTTGACAAAATCTAAACGAGCTAGGTCATTACATGTATTTAAATCAAAAATAGGATATTCGTATGTTATTCATATCAAACCACAACATTAAACTAAGTTATTAGTCATTAGAACGAATGAAAATCTCTCAACGAAGAAAGTTTTTCGATGATATCATTTTCTGAAGCTACACAATCATATTTATAGGTAATTTTTACATGATGATAAGCTGCATATAATTCGACGAACACTTCTGGAGAATGGTTTCCCGCCCATGTTGATTAATAGTAATCTAAAACTATAATGTCAAGTCGAAAGTACTCCGACAGTTCCGTAGGAAGTCTTATTCTTGAACATCACATTCAAGGGAAATATGACAGCTGAGACATTTAATAACAGACTATTTAGATCTCCGAGAATGAGGTATTCTTCATCAGAG